TCGAAGTTGAGAAAAACAGTATTTATTTTGTTTAGTTTTTAACCCACTTTAAAAAGAAACGCTTATTAATTCTTGTGTGTATTTTAAACTATACTTTCACCAATTTTACCAATTTTCATTTTTATCTTATTATTATTCATAACTAGCGACTCACCGTCGCTTTGCTCGGCTTCGTTCCTAGCTTACTCCCCGATACGAACTTTCATCCCCATTTTGACATTAAGGGAATGATTTCCGGGATAAAAAGTATTCTATGTCCTTTCTAAGGTCTCAAACTATCTTCTTACCAAATTTCATCTAAATCGGTTCAGTAGATTCAGAGATTAGCCCCTACAACCTCACAAACTCACAAACTTTACCTCTTTATAATATGAGTATAGATTTCAGAGCTGGGACCACTATTTAAGTTTTAAGAAAAATGACGAAATGTAATTTTATTTATCATATAAAAAAGTTAATTAGTAAAATTAGTACTTCTTTTGTGAAAAAAATTTAGTATAAAATGATTTCTATTAATTGTTGAACAAACTGCAGTACTTAAAATACATTATAATAAAGACGTGTACATTATAAAAGCACATATTAATATCGTGCTTAAAATGTTTCACTTTAACAAAATGTTTAAGCTTCGTAAAATATACAGGTTGCTTATAAGTTGTGTTATTAAAGAGTTCTAGCTTTCCTAATGAGGCAAGTTACGGTGAAATTAGGATTTAGTAATGTATTTAAACTTTTGCCGTAGGTACATCGACGAGGATGCTGCCTCAATAAAGCTAGAACTATATATTATGTGAAAAGTAGTTAAACTTCCATGTTGTACTGAAAATTATCTAAACAGATAAATAAAATTGATGTGTCTGTTCGTAATGTCAACAGCTTTTTACTAAAACGCATATGAAAATATTAAGGCATTAAACGAATATTAAGGCAGTGGTAGCCCTGTGGTAACGCGCTCGCTTGGGAAACCGAGTGAAGCGAGTTCAAATCCCGAGTCTCACACCTCTGATATTTTCATGTGCGTATCATTTCTAACATGATTACCATTTGTCTTAACGGTGAAGGAAAACATCGTGAGGAAACCTGCATGTCTTAGAGAACTTAGCAAGTTTTCGAAAGACATGTGAAGTCCGCCAACTCGCACTTGGCCAGCGTGGTGGACTATGGCCTGTTCCCCCTCGTACTGAAGGGAGGCCCGTGTCCAGCAGTAGGACGTTAAAAAGGGCTGAATACATATGCAAATATATACGGTACTTATAATGAAAACACAATTTTTAATTTGTTTCTCTATCTGTTCCAGTTAATCTCCGAGACGGCTGGACTTATTTTGACGGGGCTTTCACTGGCAGTTAGCTACTGTTATAAAGAGTAACTTAGGCTAGTTTTATTTCAGAAAAGAAATTAAGGTTCTGCTGGAAAATATTAAAAACTACCTCCTAGGGACACACCCTAGCGAAGCGAGGTTTAGTCGCTGGTTATAAATATATGAAATTTATTATTGATATATTTTGTATCATATCAACTATTTGTATATTACTTACATATTTTTGGTAACTAAAAGAATAATTTACGAAGTGAAAGAAAAATATTATTATGTCTACCTAAACATATTTTGCCAATAAATATTTTTTGCCAAAAAAGAAGGTGTGAATCTTAATAATGAGAGTTTTGAAAAAATATTTTTCATAGCTCATAATCGAATCGTTTTGTCTTTTACTCAAATATGCCTCACTAATATGGACCCAAGCCGACATGGAGCTAACGTTAAAAAAAATATATATGTATGTAATATAATAATTACACATTATTATTTATGTTCTTAATTTTTTTTATTGCATATTTATTCCAAATATCACTATCTATTCGTGTAATAAAATCTGTACAATAAATATGCTTGGAAAATCTTATCGAAATAGTCATTATTATCAATACAGAATCTATAGTTTTCAGAATTTTTGTCTGTCTGTCTGTGACCGCATCACGAGAAAACCACCACAGATTTTGATGAAATTTGATATGATGATAGCTGGTTATTCGGGTCAACATATAGGATACTTTTTACTGCGGGAAAATATCTTATCTCTGAGATAATCTATACTAAACGTTAAATGTAACGAGTGTGACTCGCTATTATATACTAAAAATAAATTAATGAATATAAATAAAACTACATTTCTAGTATAATTTACTTGCTGCATGAAACCTAAAAGTATCCATTCTCGACTTACAAAAAGGGAAAAGCTATTACAAAAGCAACACTATAAATAAACTGTAGAAGCCTATGCCATAAATCCTGAAGAAGCATTGCACTTAGTCCGTAAATAAGACTCCCAAGTCGCTTATTATTATATTACTTAGATAGTGTCTTTATTTTTGACGAACTTCTTACACAATTGAGTATTGACTCTAATGAGACTACAGGTTTAATTTTTTTATTTATAGATACTACAGAGACATATAACTTGACGGCCATTCTTTTTTTTCTACTACCTAATGCCTGTAGGTTTATTCTTTTTATACCTACAAATGAATTAAATTAAAGTATCTGTTTCTAATATCATACAAACTAATAGCTTTTTATTGTGTAAGGGCATATGAAATTATACACGGTACTTATAAAAAAACACGATTTAAAAAAAATGTCCGTTTGTTTCTGTGAATCTTCAAAATAAGTGGACTGGTTTTAATAGGACTTTCACGGACAGATAGCTGATGCTATAACAAGTAAGTTAGGCTACTTTTACATAAAAAAAAGAATAATGGTTTCGCTCAAAAAAATAATTAAAACGTACCTAAGGACGCAGCCGAGCGATGCGATGGTTAGCCGCTAGTTACAAATAATGATTAATTCAAAATTGTTTGAATATATTAAATATTAAAACTTTGAGCACTATGGAGAAAGTATCCCGTTTGATTAAATGTGGTCTAATACAAGCGTTATACTCCCAGAAGTACGTGCAGTTCTTCCAGTAAGAGGCTAAACGAAGCTTGGGCGATAATTTTATAACTCTATAACTCATATGTCCTAGAAATCTCGATAATAAAGATATATCTATCGATAATAAAGTCTATTTCAATAAGATTTTCCAAAAAATAATTAATGTACATATTCGGCTTGGTTACAATTTCATTATATGTATAGATTACAAGTTAAGTAGATCTAAAAATACACTATAATCTCACGTATGTAAACTTTCCAAAGCACTGCGTAAATTAATGGTGCGAACGTATAAAAATACTAGGGGATCTAAAAGCCAACGCTTTTTTGAAAACAAAAATATATAAATTTATGGTGAAGTGCCAGTTAGTTATTGAATAAAACACGTATAGGTATGATATACTTTTACGCGAAAATACTGTTCACTTGAGAGCCATCTAATTGAATTTTTACAGGTAAAAAGCTTCCATATTTTTAGGGTTATAAAGTCTCAATAATATGATTTATGGAAATTACATGTTCAGTGTTGTAACATAAATAGAATTCAGTGTGGAACAAAGTCGCAAAGATGTGGACAACTTCAGTGATAATCGCTTATGTATTTATTGTAATTCACATAATAATAATAATCTAATTTAAAACTAAACTTGTTATTTTGCTACTAACATTACTAATCACTATTTGATAGGTTAGATCTATACAGTATCTATAAAGAAAAAAAAGCAGTCATGAAGACTGCCAGAAGTGAAAAAACTTAAAACCATAAAAAAAAACTACTTAACTTTGTGATTTTTGGATCTTCAAATTAATTGTTTGATATAAAATTAAAATTTTGTAAATTACAACTGTTTACATTTATCTGATTTTGACGTTTATCGGCATTTTGAGTGTAGCGGTGACACGTCACGTGACCATGTCAATGACGACTTACATGAATTTACTACCCATAGAAACCTGCCTATAGAAGTTTTCACTTCAATAATATCAAAAACACAGGGTCAATAAGATTTTCCTAAGCAAATGCAAAATTATTAAATCATAATTTTGACGTATCTAGCGAGTCGGGTAAACGGGCCGTCCAAGCCAGTGATCCGATATTGTGGACGCGTACGTGACAGAACACTCTCTTCCCTGTGTACCTACCGAATGTAGATTTATCTATACATAAAGTAATAAACACTAAGCTTCTCAACTCCAGGTAAATTTCTAAGAAATTAATTAAATTTCTAAGAAATCTATTGCTAACTGACACGCCGGCGTGTCCGCGGTCGTGTAGGGATTAAAAGCTGAGTTCATATTTATATACTTTATATATTTAGGTATATTATTTAATTTCCTAGTGTAGCTTATAAACCTCGAGCTTATAACTAATATAATTAATATTTTTTGTCTTTTATTACCTATTTTCAAGTTTTATTGTAAACTATATTCGAGTTTTTCATATTGTTTGCAGAACTGAACGCTGATATTATTAATTAATCTCTAAGCTCTTTATTTAAATTCAATATGTTATATTATGTGTTATTAAAGCTTCCCCCCCAACGTGCGTTCACCTTGTCGTGGTGGGGGGGGCTTAGTAGTGCCCGGCAATACAGCCGGCCGCGAAGTCAAGAAACGCACAGGGAGGTGGCCCACTTCGTTGGGCGGTGGAAGGTGGTCCTCTTCGATGGGCGGTGTACCATGCGGGTTGCTCCTGGTACTTCTCTAATAGCAAAGTGGACCTTGGAGCAACCCCGTGGTTGTTGTGGTCTGCTTCGGCAGACCTGCCGTCGGGGCGTCGTAGTTGAATGCGTAAGCGATCCTGCGACGCCCCATTAAGACGGGGGAAGGTTTTGTTGGGTTTTAGCGGCTAGTACTGGCTTTATTACGCCGGTGAGTCCCACACCTCGTGCGTAAATGCATTATGTGTTATTAGAGCTTAGAATAAATGAATGTATAACTTTTTATTATTAATGTGTGATCTCATTAAATATTAATTAATGTTTCCTTTAATTAAATTAAGATTTCTTTTGTACACAAAAATGTACTTGAACCCACAAATTTATTTTGAAAATAACCTATATTAGTTAGAGATGCGTACTGCAGCTTTCTATTAGTAAAAAAAAATTAGTAATTTTGGAAATTATTATGCATTTAAAAACATCGAAAACACACAAGTATTACCAATCTATTCATTATAGCACACTAAATAAAAACAACTATGTAATTGTTATATTTTTCTCATGCAATAACAATAGGACGAACCCATAATTCAAACATCGCTAATTCAATTTCTATGCTAGGTTTTTTTTTATAATAACAAAGAGTGCTTTTGTTGACAATAATTACAACGATAATGGAGGAATTAAACAATTTTCGTTATCTTTACATGACAAAAGAATAGCATAATATATTAAGTATAATTAAAGTAACGTGTATGAAAAAAGTGCTTTAGCTCGTCAACTGATAATGCTTTTCGCATTAAGGTGGAGTCGAAATCAACATTATCACAGTTACCTATAGTTAGCTAAACATTCATTAAAAAATTGAAATTTCTAATTTTTTCGCTAATCATTGTTGCGACATTGTCAAAAGATAGTAAAAAAGAAACCATTTTTACTTTTATTTAACTCTTAAATAGAGTATTACACAAGATTTAAGTACTAGATGATTTAAAAACCTTTTCTTTCCTTGATAGTCGGTAAAAACCAAAATTTGCTCTTCTCATATAACACTATTTAATACAAGGTATGTGTAATGGTGGCAATAATTAAAATGTAAACTGTAAAATAGTTTCATTTATATCTATCGCTTGTTATGTAATCAAATGATCGGGGGGAAACCCACACGAAGAGACTAAGCTACTCGTATATAGTCTTTTAACAGATATGAGGACAATGGGAGCGCTCCGTTTGATGAGACAAGATAATTTGTGTATCATCTAGTTTGTTTGCCGACAAATAACATTGATTTTATACACATTTGTAAGGATATGATAAATATGGGACATATTAGATAAAATATAGTGCTTGGGCGACCGAGCTTCGCCCGGCATTTTTCAGAAAAGATATAAAAATTGCGCTTTTTTTTTAGAAAAAACACCTATATAGATAAAATTGAAATGCAAAACCTTATCTAAATACAAAATTTGATCCAAATCGCTAGAGCCGTTTCCGAGATACACTAAATGAATTTATACATACATATACGTATACAAAAATTGCTAATTTATTAATATTATAAGATAAAACTGAAAAGTTTGTTTGTTTGTTTGAACGCGCTAATCTCTAGATCTACTGGTTCGATTTGAAAAAAATGGTCCATTTGTTAAGAAAGGTTGTATATAGGCTACCTTACATAAGACTGTGATATAGAAGTAATTCCACAAAATTAAAAGACACGGGGGGAGCCGCAAGAAAGAGATAAATAGGTATATTATGTATATATATATATATATATATATATATATATATATATATATATATATATATATATTTGATAGTAATTTTGTAGATTTTATGATCAAAATACAAGGATGATAATATCGGAGTTATAAAGTAAGTATTTGTCACTCTGCAGGTATACACCTATAAATGTTATGTTATCGTTTCATTGCATTTGCCTACTTTTGTAGACTATACATAAGACTATATTATGTATAATTATATAGAAATTAAAAATGTTATAAAAAGACATTCTACGTATATTGTATGTATACAAAAAATGACTCACCAGTGTGCTGTTCCCGAACAAGGTATCATAGGATTCAGCTTTCGATGTGACGTTTCTTAACTTGCAGGGCTTTTTCAGCGGTGGAGGAGGTTGGCCGTGTTTAGGAGATGGCTGTTGATTGGTTTGGCTCCCAACGACATGATTTGCATTGGCCTTATTGTCCTTCTCCTTCACAGACTTACTGTTATGCGTCAAATTGTTCTTTGTAAAGTTGCCGAGCTGCTCGAACATGCTCGATAGATGTTGGGACATCATCTTGGCGATTTCTTTCCTCAAGCTCAACCAAATTCAAACAAACACGAGCTCATGACGGAATTTTAAAAGTTTTTCATTTTATTTAGTTTACATTTTTTGTACTGCTTAAATATACATAGATACATGTATTAGTTAGTAGTTGTGGAAATTCATCTCTAAAAAATAACTATTTTAAGTGATTTAACGCTTATTTTTTTAGCATTTAGACATGCTACTATGAGTAAGGTGTTGGTTGTTCGAACTAATGTAGATCATTTTCACTAGTCTATATAGTTTTTTTAAAGTATTTCATTAGAAAAGATTCGAAATATCAAAGTCGGATGAGGGCAAACTGTATTTATTATTCACATAACTATTGTTACTTGATCATATGATGATATTGAGCTGTTCATTGAGTAACTTAAACTTTGAGATGACACGGTCGTAAGAACAATGACGTCACAAGCGATGCCGCCGTGGTTCCGGCACCATTCAACTTCGCACGTGTTACCACAAACTTGCATATTGTAATATTATTAGTAGTTAGTGTCTAAGTCATGTAATAGTGACAACTATTATTGAAATTGTGTTCATGCAAGTTAAGGCAATTAATTTCAAATTGACTATAACTATTAAATCATTTTAATAAAATATCTAGGTAAATATAATATATTTTAATTAAGTAAAAGTTACTCAGTATGTCTGTTTGTGCGGTTTGCAGCTTAAACCGCTAAACAGATTTTGATGAAATTTAGCAAAGATATAGATTGCATCATGTGGACGGACATAGGCTAATTTTAGTAGGTATATATTTTATAGTTATATTAATTAGTAAATGAAAAAGATTTAAGGTCCTTAAACAAAAAATATTCTATGGTGCTATCCCCATTTAAATTGTGTTACAAAGCTTGTTCTGCCCGGAGAAAAAGTAATTCAAATTCAACCAACTGTAATGAACGAATTTCCGCACTATCCAAAAGGCTTGTGGAAGAATGTCAAACAAAAAATAATGAAGCAATATTTTGGAAGCGCTTTGGACAAAACAAAGCCTATGGAATAATAACCTCAAAGTTGCGTTAAAGAGACCGTTTGCATTGTGTTAGTCCGATTTCCTCATATATTGAATTGGAAATATTCCCAACGTAACATTTATTTATTTTGTACTGCACATTATAATCAAAATATTACTGATGTTCTTGAAACATCTTTGGTAAACGTTTTTAGAATTTCATTAATCTTATAAAACAAAAAAAAACATAATGATAAAAAAGAGAATCAATTAACTAATAAAAAGTTAGTGGCCAATCCAATTAGTGGTATCTCCATATTTTGAAGATATGTTTGTAATAGACGTTTCTATTAAAGATGAAATACCAGTAAATCCATTTCTTTAAATATAGCAATACAGCATATTTTAATTCATATACCTATAGACTATATAAACCTCTGTTATTACGTGTAGTTGGCTTGAACTTGAAAATTGAAGAAAATCAACAAGGAAGATATTATATTTTTAGGATTTAGAATTAAATAAATCAAGAAATTAACTAAACCAGGCCGTTTCAGACAGCTCAATGGAAACATGCCTAAAGATCACAATAACTTGCCTTATCTTGTCTAACTTTGGAATGACACTTATCCACTTTCCCTAGAATCGATGCCACTCCAATATATTTATTGACGACGTGAAAATGTCACAGCCCTTATATAAAAGATAAGAGACGTTGTTCAAACACCAAACATTTGATTGCTTAAACGATATGAACCACACCGTCATTTTTGTCATTTGATTCGAAATATCATTAAAAATGGATTTTTAGGCACATTTATTACTTAATATCAAATAATAATATGAACAATATATGTATTTAGGGGTAAAATAATCTATACATACTCGTATAATAAAATTGTAACTAAGCTAATTCTGTACATTGAATATTTTTTGGTAAATCTTAATCTTATTGTGCCCTTTCTTGCTCGACTTGGCGAGTGCACTGCCGTGCCCCCCGATTGAAATAGACATTATTATCGATACAGAGGCCGAATCTAAAGTTTTTAGAATTTTTGTCTGTCTGTCTGTTACCGCATCACGGAAAACCACTGGAAGGATTTTGATGAAATTTGGTATGGTGATAGCTGATTATCCGGGTCAACATGTAGGATACTTTTTATCACGGAAAAATATCTCATTTCTGAGAAAAAATACAAAAACTGCAATGTAAGAGTAACTAATATGTAAAACCTAAGAATTTGGTTTTTGGTCATCTGAACGCGGGCGGAGCCGCGGGCAATGCTAGTAAATATTATATGCCAAAGTTGAACTCTAACAACTCAATATTCTGTCTCAACCAAAAGCTGCAAGATACTAAAAATGTTTAATAATACTGTATAAATATATTTTTTTGGATTTCATAGGTACTTTAGAAAAAAAGTTGGATCGTTTTTCTGTGATTTTACATAGCAATAGCTATTACCATACAGAGTCATGTTAGTATTTGCATACACCAAAGCCAAATAGGCTTTATCTACTTACTACGATCGTATTTTGATATTAAGTGGATCTTTACAGATTTTTACTTTGAAAACGATAAAGACTTTCTTTTATTCGGTAAAGAAAAAAATCATCAGGGTAGAAAAATGATTTAAATTGGGTTTTGATTGGGTTTTCTTTTGAGGATGAAAAAAGAGACTTGCTTGAAAACAATATAAGCCTCCCCTTGAAAGTCAGGTTACCTTGTGATAGAGTAAGTTTTATGAAATTTTTGCCACGAAGTGTAATGAAACCAACTTATATTTTCAATGGACGGACAGGATAGATATCCTTTCTATCACCATTACTTGTATATAGTTCATCCACAAAGCCACACTATTTTCCTTTTAGCATGTTATTACGCTGGATGTCGCAAATCTAAAATAAACATTTTAATCTAAACGTATCGTCCAAATAATTTAAGAGATTTTTAATAATAAAATGTATACAAAATATAAAGGTAGTTAAAATATATAAATAAACTGAAGCCTTTTAACAATATCGCGTGAAACGCCATGGCCTTAGTAAATGAAACGTCAGGGCAAGCCACAAATATTGTACGTTCAAACAACCCTTTGATATCTTTTTCTCTTTTCTCTTAGATTAGCTGTCAACATCATTAGTATTGTTATTAAAATGGTATCATCGAAGCTTGAAATCATAATTCCTTTTGTTTCTATAACAATGTTATCGAAAGCCCTTATAAAGGTTTTGTAGGTACTGACCAAAATATTTACTCAAAATTTTCTATTTATTCAATCCCTGTTCATTATTTTATATTAATTTTCGATATTAGCGTATTCAAACGACGAATGAAAATGACAGATAAATAAAATTGAAGTGTCTGTTTGTAATGTCAAATTTTTACAAAATGCCTATGAAATATTAAGCGATATTACTTATACGAAAAACACAATTTAAAAAAATGCTTGTCTGTCTATCTGTTTATTCCGGCTAATCTGCGAAATGGCTGGACTAATTTTGACGGGACTTTCACTTGTAAATAGCTGATGTTATAAGGAATAACTTAGACTACTTTTATTTAAGAGAAAGAATTAGGAATTAGCTTAAAAAAAAATCAAAACGTACCGTACTTATAAAACATTATGTTGCAAAACAAATCATTTCATTATTATATTAGAAACATTTTTTTTTACCGGATATGTCATTTGGTTCCATGTTTAGGAGATAATTATTTAAAAGATAGTCTAAATATAAATATTAAATGTATATAATAAAATAGCTAAAAATTTATTTATTAAGATTCACGAGTGGTAATTACATTATTACAGTAAAAAGTTATGCTATGTTACAAAGTTCGTATTGCTGCATGCATTTGCATTACCGTTTAAGGTGAATAGTATTTCACGCATATTTATATAGTAAAAAATAACTTAACGGAACCTCCGTTCATTTAGAATAGACACCTAATTAGATATTTTCGAAGTCGGTGCCAGCCGACAATATTTTAAGATATGAATATCTAATAGGTAAATATGTATTTTAAGTATCGAAATATATTAGATTTGCTTTGCATCGGCATTTTTTTTAAGTTTTTTATCTATTTAAAACGTACCTACTAGAGATGCACTCGAGCGATCCAGGAGCAAATAGCCAGTAAAAAATAAGAATATATCGTGATATACCCTCAAAATTATCTATGCACTTGAGCAGAGGGCGTCTTAATAGACTTGATATACCTAAAGAAAAAAAATACAACGTGTTAAAAATAATTATATTATTTTACCTATCGAATTCAGAAAGAGAATTGAAAAAAAAGTCATAAAGTTAGTTAAAACGTTAGTTTACGGTTCATACTTCCGATGAAATGCCTCGCCGAAACTGCTCAGTGTTTTGTAATTTAGTGTAATTTTCTAAATATAACTTTTTTTTGTTTTATGAATATTTCCATATACGTAGTTGTTAAAGTCAAATTATGCTCACGCTTTATTTCTATAGCAATTCTTATATATAATTTACATTATTAAACTTACATTTTGACGACACGTTTGGCTCAGTTTGTAGTGGGTGCTACCCTACTTAATGTGCCAGCGGTCGCGGGTTAGTGTACTTGAAAGGAACAGTATAATGGATAGTGTTTCTAATTATAATTCTTACCATTCCTACCAGTTCTAATTAAAAATATTTTACAGACAGTGTATTTGTTGATGTCTGTTGCTTTCTCATAATAATAGAACGACATCTCGAGGTATTTTTTTGTATAAGCATAGTTTTCCTAAAATAAATAAATATATATAGTGCCTCATTGGTCTAATAGCTGACATACTACTTCAGATCTGGGATTAAGTCTCGGGTCTAAATACTGTCATTGAGTTTTCTTATTTCTATTAAAGTTTTCAGTTACATCCCTTAGTTGGATAATTGGCAATGCTACGTAGGACGACTCGTAAAGCCATCGGCTGCGTTTGATATCTCATAATTTGAGAGTGAAAGTAATAGTAAGTGCATTTGTCGTTTGTGTTGTTGCTCT